AATCACCGCTCTCCACTGGCCACTTAGATGCATTGGTCTGCGAGACACAGGAGTCTGTCTGGAACGTGACAAGGAAAGTTGATGGTGGGAACGCACGGAGTCAATGGTTTACAGAGGCGGCAACCCTCACACCGTGGGAGGAAAAAAGGTTTTGATTAATTGGCTGATTCCAAGGGCTTATTTTCTTTACCCTGGTACTACCATTAAAATGATGGCTGAATTCATTTTGATCTCTTGTCACTGTCTCCTTCTGCTGATTTTTGCTTCAGAGGCTTCCTCTACTGCTTTTTTGGGGGGGCAAGGGTGGGTGTCAAGATAAATATCAATAGCACAGTTAGAATTAAAGCTTATTTTATATAAATAGTCTTGGGGGGAAAAAAGCTTTCTTTTAAGATAAGACATTACAGGAAGCTAATGACATCTGCAGAGGGGCTGAAGGAAGCAGAAAGTGGAAAGCCATTTTGTATTTCTGCCTCTTTGCCATTGGATTGAGTTTTCTCTCACGGCATCTTGAAACCGCTTTCTTGCTTTATGTGTCCTTTGCATTTCTTAGAACCTCTCTATTGTCTGTACTTAGGAAGTGTAAGCATGTTGATAGTTCATAAAGTGATTTTTTTCCAGTGTGTTAATTTCCCAGGGCCTGGGAGCCTAGAGGATTGTTATCGGATGCTCCCAACTTCTAATGATAATTATTTGCTTTCCAGGATATTCAGAATTTGAGAGGATCACTTTGATCACTTTGATCACACTGATGGCCAGAGGAACAATGGGTGACATTCTAGGGATGGGGGAGTGGTCAGGTGGAAAGGCCACAGATGCCAAGACCGCCTGGATAACTCTAAGGAGGGAGGAAGACTTCCTTCCTTGCATCCCCTCCCACTTACTCAATAGCTGAACTTCTACCATGAAAATGGCATCTCTGTGATTTGATTCCATTTTATTAAGCTGCAGATACAAAGACAACTGTGACATGATACTTGTCACACTGTCTAATGGAAGAATAGTTTTGAAAACTACTAAAAGGAGAACACCATTTCTGGAGAGGGACAATTCTTTAAGATATTATTAGTCATTCTATTCTTTAATGCAGACGGATGGCTATAACTACCCTTTGTGAGATCCTAATGTGGAAAGGGAACAGGAGCAGGAAGACTTTAGTTGTCTAAAGGAAGGGAGGGTAGGAACGGGCAGAGGAAGAGAGGGAGAGAGAGACTCTGAGGATGAGAATATGAATGGATAAATGAACAAGAGGTGGAAGCAGGAACTGTCAGCAGGCTTCAAAATTTGGAATAGCAATGGACCTTGTACTTGACCAATCTCTTCCATTAATACCCCCATCAGATAATTCCATCCACTAGCCCTCTCCCTCCAGCTGATAAACTTTCCCCAGAATTCAAATATATAGAAGTTTGCAATAGCTGTAAGTAAAATCCACAATTCTAAGTCCTTCTGATCTGCTGGTACTGCCAAAGGAAGGTATAGCGCTCTACCCCTGGCTGAAGTCATCCATTCATGGGCCTAAGACATTGGGAAACCCTGTCTCCCTGGGCACGTAGGACTCTTCCCTAGGTCTGCAGCCTGGGTCTTCTGGAGTCTTCTTAGCCTTTCCTTCATCTGAAGGAGACGACTCCAACTGAGTCTACCGAAGTCTGCCCATCCAGATAAGAAGTGAAATCCTTTATCCAACGACCAGATGTGTGGTCTATGAGAAGACAAAACATCTGGCCTGCTGGAATCATTGAGTTGCTGGCAAGCTCTGCTCAGCTTTCTTACAGGAAGGAGTGGCAGGCACCCTGAAGATCAAGCTAGGATCTATGAAGTTCAAAGAAAAAACTGTGTTGAAGTTCAGATTGAAAAATATGAATCACAGGGAGGAAGTAATTCTTTTTCACCTCAACTTGCCAGAATCCTGAGCTGGTCTCCAGGCCTGGGGCACATAGGTTGGCACCTCTTCTTTAGAGAGGGGTGAATGAAGCCAAGTTCACATGCATTTACATTTCCAAACATAATCATTATTACAATGTTGACAATTATACCTGGGCTTCACGGAGGTCACTGAATCTTTCAAAGGCTCTATCTCAGCAGTTCCACATGAATGGCAATTCTTATTTAAACATTTTTTAGAAAGGAAATAAAACAAACAAATGAAACGAGCACGTGGAGAGGCCAAGTGACATTGTTTGAGGATGTACAACAACCATGCACAGAGGTTAAGACCACATGGATTCCCTCAGGCATGTGATGACAGGTAAGATTCAGGTCTCTGGCACCTGGGGGCTTTCTTTACTAGATTACAGTGTCTCCTAAAAATAGTCAGGAGAGGCACATAATTCCTCGGGTCGAATAGGAGACATGAACTTGTCTTTAAGATTTTGTGGGCCTTGCAGCTGCTACTCAAGTCAACAATTCCAATTTTTGATCTACCATATCTTAGATCCTGTTCCAGAATATTAAGGGAAAATATTATGTAGTGAAGAAGATGTCAGTGTGGGATGAAGCTCAGTTTCCACTTAGGAGAAGAAGTGAGTGGAAACTTCTCAGAGCTAGAAACTCCAGATTTGACTAAGATGTCAATGAGGTGCCACAAGGCATGGTATGAAGTATCTGATAAAGCAGCCGGATCTTGTCACACTACTCTGTTTCAGTGGCAGACTGTCTCCTGATTTGTGACCAATGACATTTCTTTTCAGAAAATTCACCTTTGAACATTTAAGAAGCCAAATTTTTTTTTCAAGAAAAAAGAAAAAAAAATTAGACTAAAGTAGAAAAAGAATGAAAATCAACAGAGGATATAATCCAGAGAGACCTTGATTTCCATTCTGCTTCTGCCCCTTATTAACTGTAGCCTTGGGCAAACTTCTTAAAAACTCTCTGAGCCTGGGTTTCCTCATATATAACACAGGAATAGAAAGCCTTATTCCCGCAGGCAGGGAGACTGTCAAGATTCAATGAGGTGTCTTCATCTGCTTGGGCTGCCATAACAAAATACCACAGATTGGGTGTTTAAACAATAGAAATTCATTTTCTCACAGTTCTGGAGGCACTAAGATCAAGGTGCCAGCATGGCTGAGCTCTGGTGAGGGCTCCCTTCCCGGCTTGCAGATGGCCACCTTTTTGCCGTGTCCTCACATGGCAGAGAAAAAGCAAGCTCTGGTGTCTCATCGCATCAGGGCACTAATCTCACCATAAAGGTCCCACCCTCATTTCCTCATCTAATCGAAATCACCTCCCAAAGGCCACATCTCCAAATACCATCACACTGTGGGGTTAGGGATTCAAATTTGAATTTTGAGGGGACAGAAACTTCCAGTCCATAATATGCATTAACCTACGCAGGGCCTTAGTAAGCATCTCTACTGTTTTGTTCTGGCAATTATGCTTTGTCCCAGGAAGTGCAAGGCAACTAGTTATGAGAACATCTTCATAAATCAACACATTAAAATAATAACTGACAAGTCACTGACATTTCAACAATAAATAAACATCTCCACGTGATGTTTCTGAGACAGCACCAGAAAATCCAGAAAAAAGTTGAAAACTCAACTCTACCATCTTTGTTTAAAAACTCCAGTTAAGATCCACAAGCATTCATGAGTGGGTTCAATTCTTTGGAAGGGATATTTCACAAGCATCAATTTGAGAGGCTTGGCAGGGTGCCGTGCACCACACTTCCCAAAATGTGGCACAAAGAGCACAGATATTGGTATCAGACTCTTGCATGTGACCACTTCCAATAGTGTACACTTGAGTTCCGTAATCTTTCTGGATCTCTGTTGCCTGTGTGGGTTGTGAGAGGTAGCAGGAAGGTTATATGAAAAGCACCTAGCATAGTTCTTGGTACATAAGAGGGTCACAATAAATAAGGTTCTCATTACTGGGCTACTGGTGGAAAACCTGGCTTCTAGTCCTGACTTTGAGACCATGGGCAAGTCACTTAAGCTCTCTGGTGACTCAGCTGAACAAATATTTCTTCAACTTTCAGTTACAACTTGGGAGCCAGACTTCTTGGTTCTGGCATTTACTAGCTGCTTCAACGTAAGCCAAGTTATTTAACTTCTTTTTGCCTCAGGTTCTTCAACTATAAAATGGGAATTATAGAGCTGCTGCGGGACTGAACGTACATTCCCGGTCCAGAGAAAGAACTCATAATGTGCTCCTGATCATTATTACAGATAAAGAAATGGAGTGGAAGCAGAACGGTCAGGTTACAGAACTAGTTGGAAGTCAAGTGAGGGTTGACTTCAGAGCTTGTGCCTTCAGCCATAAACTATACTGCTTCTCTACCTTTTTGTAAACCTATTGTTAATCCTATTATTTTACCACTCAAAGTCTCTCCATAAAACCCACATGTGAAATGTCTTTTTCAATTCAGTGGTAGGAAAAGCTTTGTCTCCTAAAGAAACTAGTATGCTTCCTCTTTTTGAAAATAAGAATTATGTAACTTATCATGGGTTCTTTTTTGTCTCGGCTGCCAGGAAGCTCAGAGTCAAACTGTCTGCTCCATCATTGCCATCGAGTTGTTTCCTTCTTCCTATATCTTTGTTCCTTATTTTTTCTTCTAACTCCATTTTACTAACATTTTCATTTGTGTACCTTGCTGAAAGAGACCTCAGAGGTATTTGAAAAGTGGTGGATGGAGATGAAAGAAGCAAATACAAATCAGAAATTCACATGAAAAATTTGTTTTGTACCTTACCTGCTTCGCTTGCTAAAAGAAAAATGGTCAAGGGGAAATTCAAATGAAATAATATAAGAGCTATTTTGAAGGAGAAAAAAAGAAAACCAACAGAAAGACAGAACAACTGACAGTAATGGAGGCCAAGTCAAATGAAAACTGCAAAAAATATGTGAGGCTAGAAGTGTTTGTGCTTTCCCTGGCTGGAACCTATCATTTCTTAATTATATCCTGTGTGTGCTTTGCAAGACATGAGCTGCTGTCAAGAGGAAGGACAGCCCCAGACAGGGGAGGGGCCATGGCCCACCCCTTGGTCCTCACGTACCTGTACAGAAGCGAAATCCCCCGAGGCACAGGCCCCCAGAATAGCAGCACCCACGAGAACAGACTCCACCTCTTGCGACAGGACCACAGGCATGCCTGCGCAGGACAAGGCCACACCTTGGTTAGGGAGTAGTAGGGCCAGGGGCCACGCGGGGAGCCGGCCAGCAGCTCCAGCAGCACAAACACCTGATGCAGAGGCAGCAGCAGTGCTCCACCCCTCCCCCTTGCAGTTCCCTGTTCTTTGGGATTACCTGGTTCTAAAGGATTTCACTGCCTCTGCCTGCTGCTGCAGTAGCCAAGGGTCCCCTGGAAGCCAGCACCATATATCTATATCTATATCTGTATCTATATCTATATTTATCTATCTATCTATCTATTTATCAATCATCTATCTATCTATCTGTACGTATCTGAACTCAGGAGACCTTTCTGCCCAGGTTTTCCAGGCTTCTGCTAGCTGCTACCTGCCATTTTAAGCAGTTAAACAAACATTTACGAAGTGCTCTGCGGGGCCAGTGATATAGAGATGAATAAGACTGTCCTGCTATTCAGGTCTCAAAGGGGAGATGGATGAGAGAGAGATAAAGGCCACACAGGGGGTTGGGTCTCCAACTGAGATGCACTAAGGAAAGGGAAGTAGTGAGAGAGGGTGCGATGAATCCTTCCTTCAGGGGCCTCAGAGTACAAGCCAAAGCCCTTACCAAGGCTGACAAGGCCCTCCAGGATCCGTGCCACTTCTCCCACCCTGATTGGCTTCCCCTCTCCTCTGGGCCACACTGCCCGGCCTCCTTGCCCTTTCTTGAATCTGCTTCAGGGCCCTTGCTCGTGCTGTTCTTTCTGTCTGGGTCACTTGCTTCCAGATGTCCCCATGGCAACTCCCTCCTGCAAGTCTGTGCAAACATCCCTCCCCACTGCAGCTTTCCTGACCATCTGAAGTGAAATGACAACTTACCCACAACATCCCTTACCCGCCTCATGATTTCCTCATTGCCTTCCAACACCGTGCTATTACTTCTCTTGTTTACTGTCTGTCTTGCCTGCTAGAACCTAAGCTCCATGAGGGCAGGGACTCTTTGTCCACTGCTGAATCCCTGGAATTGAGAGCAGTGTCTAGCACATTGTAACTGCTTACGTGATGAACGAATGAATTTTCGAGATGGGGAAGGGGGTCAGAGCAGGGGAGCTCAGGATTAAACAAGCATTTGAAGGATGAGTAGGGGTCCACCAGGCAGGGAGGAACACTCCACATGACAACTCCCAGAGGCTGAAGGTTCACAGTGGACTTAAGGTGAATAGGAATAATTTAGAATTCTTAGTATTTTATATGTGTGTGTATATGAAATGAAACGTACATAAAATATAAATATATTTGCTAATCAGGAGATGGCAGCAAACTCCACAGAGGTAAGCTCTGTGGCCAGACCTGTGAGATCTTCCTCCACTCAAGACATTATTTTTCCAAAGACTGGATTTCTCTTCCTATCTTTTCTGGCAAGAGTTCCCTGACACATCCTCCTCTGTGCTCCCACCATCTCCTAACTCACTGTCCTACTCCAGGGCTGGGGCAGCTGCCCCAGCCATCCCAGACAAAGGGGGTGGGGGGAAGAATTCCCACACATATCCCAGTGGACTTAGGAATACCAGCCCCATACTGCAGGGCCAGCACTGGAGACTTTGCTGACAAGTATCAGGTGGGGTGGGGTCTCTGGGAAAAGCGCAGACCTGGTTCCACTAGCCCTGTGTCCTTCAGCAAGTCACTTAAACCCTTTAGCCTCAGTTTCTCCCTGTGTAAAATGGGGATGATAACAGGTTTGCTGTGAGGATCCATGAAAAAGGGCACATATGGGGCTTAACACATTTCCTGGTCTATGATAAGCCCCTGAGAGTGGTGGCCTCTACTGTTAGGATGAATCTCAGTGAGGGGTGAAGCCCTCCTCCATGCACTCCATCTGGGTTGGAAAGTGGACCACAGGGAAAGGATGGGGTAGGTTGCCCATCAACCATCCAGAGGGGCAGGAAAGACACCAGGCCACGTGGAAGGGTTGTGCTGGTTGCATCAGGAGAGAGCACCGCAAGCCTCTGCAGAGTCTGGGGATCATGGGGATGGGGGTGTGACCATGACCATCCCATGGCCCTGGGACTTTTTAGAAGACAGCACTCCACATGCTGTTTGCCTCCTAGCCCTCCTTACCCTGTCAGAGCTTCACTGCTCTGAGCAGGGAGGAACTACTCACAGGCCCCTCTCCTTGGGAACGGGCAACCAGAGGAGCCGGGTGGATCCCCCATCAGCTCTCCAGTTGCAGCCCAAAGTGCTCTGGAGCCAAGCTGCCAGGGTTTGAATTCTGGCTTCCTCTCTGCCTTAGCTGTGTGATCCTAGGCAAGTTACTTAACCCCTCTGTGCCTGTTTTCCCAGATGCAAAATGAGGTTAAACTTCCATTGATCTCACAGAGTTGCTGTGAGGGTTAAAAGTGCTTAGAGGAGGCACTAAATTGGCATTAGCTATTATGATTCTTAATGTTTACCGTATCTCAGTTATTCCCACCCTCTTCGCACCTCGGCCCCAACACCTGTTCTGGGTCCTGGGACACTGCCGTGTGGACCAAGTCTGTAGCCCCTTTGTCCTCCGGCCACATCCTGGACTGAGCTCATCTCCAGCCACGAGGCCCCTCTTCACATAGCCCCTCAGTCTCAGGTGGGTCACCTCCTGCCCCAGCCCCTGCAAGCCTAGGGGTGGTCAGACTGCAGGCAGCCCCATGGTACCGCCTGGTGACCGGGGTTTCCCTCAACCCTGCCCACACCTCTGTAAATAGACCCTTTATTCGACTGTTCTCCAGTTAATCCAATCTGAGTGTGTCATCTGTTCTCTGCCTGGAACTGACTCACGCTGCCACCAACGTCCTCTGGGTACCCCGTCCTCGCTGGACAGTGGTCAGAGCACGAGAGCACTTTTCTGTTTCTAATGGCCCTCTTGGCAGGACGTTATTGTTCTTCTTTGCATGCTCGCGCCAAGCTCAGCATGTGTACTCAGAGAATGAATACATGAAGGAGTAAATGAATGAAATAATGAATAAGGCGGGAAGAGGGAAACCCCTAAGGAAACTGCCAGAATTCTACAAAACAAAATTTAGGAGGAACATTTAGTCCCAAGTCAGTGAGGGAAACCTACAATTACTTAGTACACACCAAGTATTTCTTGAAACCACAGTTAACTATATGCCCAGGGTACAACGAGATTCTTCCTCCTCACGTAGAGGACATTTCCCAAGTTGGCAAAACCCTACTCTCCCTGCTTGCCCAGAGCAGGAGCAGACTGTTCCCCAAATGGCAAAGATTTGCTTAAAAAATATTTAACTTCTTTTTTTCTGAAATGCACCACCTTTCTGGCGTGGGGCTGCCTTCAGGGAAGAAGTGAGCTAACATTTATTGAACACCTATTTTAAGTGAAGCACAGAGATTGGTGCCCACAAACGTGTGAGTATGTATTCCTCAGCATGATCTATATGAGGGAAATAATATTATCTCTACCTTTCAGAAGAGGGAAATGAGGCTCAGAGAGGTAAAGCAACTTGCCCAAAGTCACAGAGCTGGTCCCCTGCTCTTTCCATTACTCCACACTATCTCCAAAGCATCTCCCAAATCCCACCGTGTTTTTCACATGTTATTCCTGAGAATCATGTACCAGGTCTATGGTTCTTTCTACAGCTTTCTTTGCAGGAAAACTAGAGCAATTACAACGTTTAAAGGCACCAAACACTCTACCTATACACCCCCGGCTTGTGTACCCATCTTTTGCAGAAACAAATGCAAATGTGTTCTTTTCTCAGAATGCTGGGTGAAGGAGAGGAAGAAGGCAGCTTTGCCTGGAATGTGAACTATTTTATCTGACGCATTAATGAGTTTAGCAGAACCCAAAGCATTTAAAGGCAGATGCACTTTGCCATCACTTGTCAATCACCGGCTTCCCAAGGCAGAGGAGTTTCAGGCCAAAGAAAAGGCCCCTTTGTCCGGAACTGTAACTGGTCCATAGTCAGAGACAAAGGGTCCAGTTTCAATTGGAATCCAAATAACGATTAACAGCCTTTTCATTCATGAGCCTGAAGGAGAACAGTTTCCAAAGCAGAACTTTCTCTGAAGCCACTGCACCCCTGCTTCTGAGTCAGCTCAGGGGTGTGAGGCCTGGAAGAGAACTCACTTTCATAAAGGCTGGAGCAGCGGTGCAGAGTCAGGACCTGGGTCACACAGGCTACCCTGCTCTTGGGGGCCCTGTTTCCCATTCCCTTGGGTGATGTGTTAGCCAAGGTTGATTTTCTCTCCCCTCTTGAATCCAGGTAGGAAGTTTTGGTGGCTATTTGGAGGCTGGAAATTAAAAAGTCACTCACAGATCAGATTTTAAGTCTGAACCGTACTTGAACAAGCTAGCTGACTTTGAGATAAAATGTAGTCATGGCTTTTCTCCTAGGGAAAATCGAAGGTAATCTGAGCTCCTTTTTACGTCTTTCTTCTTTCTGCCTCAGAATGGCCTACTTCCATAGGTTCTGGACACTTTAGGAAAGGAGTCGTCATCATCAAATGGTTACAAACCGGGCAGAAAAGTTAAGAAACCTGGGTCAGAGCATAGTGTAGGGGACGCTGGGCCTGGACACACCTGGGACAATCCTGGTCCTGCCCCTACTGGGTGTCTGACGTTGGACAGTTAATTTAAGTCACCTTCCTGACTCTGTTTCCTTGTCTGTAAGATGGGGACACCAACTTCTACCTTTTGGTGGTGTGTGCGGATTAAATGTAAATAGCGTGATTCATGTCAACACAGAGCGGGAGCGTGGTTAATGGCAGTCATTTCTATACTTATTTTTATATGTTTACCCTTAGACTGTGTGCTTTTTTTTTTTGTTTGTTTTGTTTTGTTTTGTTTTGTTTTGTTTTGCGGTACTCGGGCCTCTCACTGTTGTGGCCTCTCCCGTTGCGGAGCACAGGCTCCGGACGCGCAGGCTCAGCGGCCATGGCTCACGGGCCTAGCCGCTCCGCGGCATGTGGGATCTTCCTGGACCGGGGCACGAACCCAAGTCCCCTGCACCGCAGGCGGACTCTCAACCACTGCGCCACCAGGGAAGCCCCACTGTGTGCTTTTTGATACTGTTCTCTGGCTTGTGCCTCAGCCTCCGTACCTCTAAGATGGGGATCAGTAACTTATTTAGTTTGATCTCACGATGTGCAGGGGGTAAATGTTGCCCATCATGATTGGGAAAGCTCTCACCTGCAGGGATCTGCATGGACTGGAGGGGGAAGGGAGAGTCAGGGGCAGAAACCTGGACCCACCCAGCTGTCGGAGGTAAGGAATCCAGGGGACAGGGGACAGCAAGAGATCATGATGAATGGAGGCCAGTGGAGGGTGGGCTCAGATGAGGCTGGAGGTGGGGCTGTGAGCAGGGTCCAGTTCTCTCCTACTTCCCTATCCTTGGCCAGCCCTGGTGCCTGGCCACCCCGGGATGGGGTAGGGAGGGGGGACATCAGTCCCCAGGAGACACAGGGAGAGAAAGGAGCAAGGGGCATGAGGGCACAGGTCTAGAGGGATGGAAGCCCAGGCCAGCCTCTGGGACAGCAGCAAGCCTCCTGCCTGTGGGGCCCCTTCCTTGGGGCCCAGGGGTCTGCACTACAGATCCTGCTCTGCTTTTGTCTGCTCATATCACAGAGAGATCAGCCCATTACCCTGGATTCTCTCCATCTGTGTCACGATCCCTGATTCTGATGAGCCGAGAAGGAATCACAGGATCTTGGGGTCTTAGGGTCCAAACCCCCATCTGCAGCCAGACACCCGCAGCTTCCACCATGGCTGGGCTCTGCAATCTTTCTTCAAACAGTTTCCTTATCACTTCCTCCAGTCACTTGCTGTGCACCGTCACAGGTCCAAACCAGGGCGAGGTGGCCCATGGTGTTTCCCCAATACCCTGTGCTTTTCTCACTCAGAGCTCTTGCCACACTGGATTTGACATGTCTGCTGTCTGCCTTCTTCAATAGCCCCTGAGCTCCCTGGGGGCAGGGATCATGTCTTCATCTCTGTATTTTCAATACGGCCCGCAGTGGGGGGGATCAGAAGAGGTACTCAAGACTGTTGAGTAAATACTTGAATTAAGATCTAGTCCTTGCTGACCTCTCGTGTCTCATTTCTTACCATGACCCGATAGTTAGCTACACATAGAAGACACTTTCCCCACTGTGACAACCATAGCTGTCTTAAGAAAAAAAATACATTTTAACATAAATACTCAAAATAATTTGGCACACTACTTATATCTTCCTATTCTCTACCCTGTCTAGATCTTGGCCACGCCCATTTGCTGCCAAGCCTACAATGACTTTCTCTCCTTCTTCTTAGACTTACCGGTAATGTCCGCATGCATTTGCACAAAAAGGGGGTTCTTGCCGAGGCCCCCACAGAGGAAAAGGGTGCTGATCGAGTGCCCTGCTGACTCCATGGCCTCTATAATGAGGCGCGTCCCGAACTTAAAGGGAAGAACAGAAGAAGGCATCAGTACGGTAGCAAAGGTAAATTGATCGGGAGCATTTACTAAGTGTTTTCCCAGTACTAGATGCCGCACTAGGAGCTCTAGATACACTACCTCAGAAAGTCAGGACTCAAGATTACATTGCCCGTGATCACACCATTATATTAAGTTGCAGAGCGGGAATTCCAACCTGGGCCTGCCTGACTCCAAAATCTTCTGAATCATTGCACCATTTGCTTCTATCAGTAGTTATACAATGTTGACAATGTTAACACGGTGCATATTAACACAGTTCGTTCAAATACATATTTGATGAGTGTCCATTATGGCCCAGGTCCTCCATGAGGTACGGGGAATGGAGTCATTGGCAGCTCTACTCCAATGATAACAGTTGGAGATCTCTGAGTCAGTTTCCCTTCCCTAAAGAGGAACTAAAGAAGTTTGTTCCTTGGAAATGGCACCAACAAACTCAGCAGCAGAAACATGGAAAGAGGGCTTGAATTGCACAAAGAAGGTAGGACACAAGACTTCAGGCTGGCAAAAGAACCTTTGTTACCACCTGAAACCAGGTAGTGGTTCTAATAAGGAGGCTTCCAGTGCCAGAATCCATTCCCAGTCAGTCCTTAGTGATCTCGGATGATGCAGAAACCACATGCCATATGCTACGGCTTCACCATATTTTCATTTCAGCCCTTGTGTCTTCCTTTCTTCTGAAAATGTGTTATCTATCGTTCTTGTCTTGCTCAGTTCACTAAAGTAAAAATGACTGATGCTTGACAAGAGACTGCTACCACAGGGTCATCGAGGTGAATCTTAATGTATAAGTCATTACTTTTGGCTAGGGTATTCGAGTATCTAAAAAATCATAATTTCCTAGGAAGTTCGAAAACTGGAAGTCCAAAAATCATCATTTTTTTTTTTTTTTTTTGAGAGAAGGATTAAAAACAAAAAAGATGAACTGTGATATGACCTCAGGAGGCAGCCGCATGGCGATGATTGAGAAAGTGGCTCTGGGGAGAAATGAGGGAGAGGGTTTTTTGGTGGCAAGATAGCCCTTGAGATATTCAGGGAGTAAGCAACTTTGGGGGATGACCAAGTCCCAGGTGTGCACATGGGAGTGAGGGGCTGAAGCGGATGGAGGAGAAGGTCAAGGGGGAGGAGGAGGTCAAGAGAGAATACGGAGGTCAAGGATCTGGGAGGCCAGAGATGTTGCCACCACCAAGAAGGCGGGGTTCGGGCTGGACAGAAGAGTATCACAGATTCGCTGAAGGTGTGACAGCGGTGCTGGGAAGACGGTGTTCAGGTGCACAGAGGAGGAGAAGACAGTTCAGCTTGAGGGCATGCAGCACCAGAGGCTTAACCAAAGTAAAGGAAGAGGGTTTGGGAAGTTATCAGGATGCTCCCCTGACCCCCGCGGGGCGGCGGGGGGGCGGGATGTAGAAGCTTCTTTCACAGGACTCTCCGGAGAGCTGTCTCCCTGGGGCCAGGGGGTGCCTCTGGGAGAGGCAGCGCTAGAGGGTGATCTGGGGACCAGGGGTGTGTGAAATCCTGATTGCTGTGTAGTAAATGATGAGGGATGGGGGCAGTCCAGAACCAAGATTTCCAGCCCATAGACTTCAGGTTTGTTGAAGTTATTAGTGAATCTGGTAAGAATATGGATTAGGTAAAACTTGGGCCTGCAAAGATCCTCCACAGATGTAGTGTGTTAAAAAAATTAAAACATGTTGTACCCTATGCGGCCAGACCCTGCTTATTGAACATGGCTGATTACCCCCAGATGTTCTTTCTTACGCTTTTGGGGGGTCATGAACCCTCTTGAGAATATGATAAAACCTACTGACCTCCCCAGAAAAGAGTCATATATAAAATAATATTATAACTAATTTCAGGCGTTCTACAAATGCCCTTACATCTACCATGGATCATTTGGTGTCGGTGGATTCCAGGTAACCCTAGTGTACTCCAGGGGCATGAATCTGCAGGAGATAAGAGCGTGGCTTTTGAATTTAAAAAAAGCTGGGATGGCATTCAGGCATTTCACCTATTTCTTGAATCAAATCCATACCTAACCTTTCCATGACTCAATTCTCATTTTAAAAATGGGAAGAATAACACCATATTTTTCATTTGATAACTCCATGGATTGTCTGAAATGCTAACATGCAACAAAAATTTAAAATGTGGTCTTAGACTTGCTGAAATACAGTAACATCTATCTTACAAGTTTGCTGCTGTAGACAGTGTATCTGAAGCTCATAGGAGTGTCCAGTACAGGGAGGGTGTTTAGAAATGAGAGCTAATCTGGTTGTTAGCTCTATGCTAGGCATTCTGCTATGCTCCTTAATATCACCTCTAATTTCATGAAACACTCAAAAACTGCATATTATTATCCCCATTTAGGATTTCTATAGTTTGCCTAAAGCCATGCAATCTGCCTTAGGGGAGGGGAAGCTGCCTCCCAATATGCGTGGAAATGCCATGCAAAATTGATATTTCTGATGTTTCTAAAATCAGAGACCTGAGGGCTCATGTGATTAGCAGGCCTGAGAGGAGAGTAACACAAAGCACATTCCCTGGGAAAAGGCAAGAAGCAATCCAAACAAGAGGCACTCGCTCCAGAGGGGCTGTGACAGCCTGTCTCTCTCCCATGTGGCATTGTCAGCAGGAATTTCCCACTCAGGCTGCCCGGTTAGTTACAGGGCCTTCCCTTTCGGTGTCCCAGACGCCACTGTGTGAAACACTCCACCCTCCTTAAATGCCCCACCAAAGGGCTTTGTGCTAAAATGATTTTGTGCTCACCTTTCTGGAAAAAATGTTTTCACAGAGAAATTTAAATTAAAATTAGGCTATTCCACTGGGAATGTACAGAACCAAATGCAAATGGAGAGACTTCAAATGCAAATAGTACTTTTTAAGGGTCTATTCTGCAAAGAAAGCTATAGATGAACAGGCTATGAATAAACTGGGTGTTTGACAGTTCCTTCAATTAAGCTTGGTCAAGAGAGAATTTCACTTCATGGAGGGTTTTGCATAGTCCCAAGTTAACTTCATTACAATATCTCTAATTTCATCCCATTCTTACAAAATATCAACCGTAGATATTACTACAGAGAAGAATTTGCTTAACTTTAACTTCACAACAAATAGGTGTAAAGGCTATATTCAGAGTCAATGAACGCATTTTTTTTTTCAAGGTGAACATCATGGGAAAATATCTGTTATCAGAATGCTTCATTAAAATGCACATTAAAATGCACAAAGGCACTAAAAGATCAGAATGCCCAGATACTTTTGCAAAACAGACTGAACTCCTCACAGCTCAATTGACTATACAACATAGCCTTATCGAAAAATCTGTCTTAAATTGCCTTCTCTTCATGGTATTATAAAGGTCATTAAAACAATGGACAGAATAAATATGATAGCTTTTAATATATGTACGGCCCATTACATACAAAATTGATTTTCCAAGTGTGTAGTATTTGGGAAAATGCAGTTGGCTTTCTCCCATCCCAGCCCTCCCCAGCCCTCAGCCTGCATTAGGTTTAACCTAATTTATACATCCTTGGACTTCTTACCAGTAAGGGGACCTCTGTGAGACAATCCTGGCCAAATTAATGATGTTGTCTAAGATGTGTCAAATCAAAACTGTTCTCAGGAATGCCTGAAGGCTTATTTCAATCATGTAGCTTTTACAAAGCGATCAAAGAAAATTGCAGCATGGTAACGTGGAAAGAGCAAAAGCCTAGGAGTAGACAGAGGTTCCGATTCTGACTCGACCATACACTAGCTGTTTGACCCTGGCAAGCAGTGTTCCCTCTGTCTGTAAAATGAGGACAATCCCACCTACTGACTGGGTTACTCACAGGTGGGTGTAGTACCCTGTTTGGTGCCTGGCACAGAGAGTGGGTGTCAGTGAGAGGGACCAGTGGTTGTCATCACAGAATGGTGCCCCTTGGCTCATCTGTGTGCTCTCATTCTTCATGTCCCCCTCTTAGCATGGACTCAGAAGGAAGAGCCTCACACAGCTCTGATTTCCCAGGATTATTTATTTTAATGCAAGTGGCTCATTCCACTGTAAGACTTTTCACACAGTGATATTAAGATCAGAATATAAAAGCTCCTCAATTATTGGGAGATTGGGATTGACATAGATACACTAATATGTATAAAATAGATTAACTAATAAGAACTTGCTATATAAAAATAAATAAAATTCAAAAATTCAAAACAAAACAAAAACAAAAAAAGCTCCTCAATTCATCGTGTACCTAGTTTTATTTTAGAAAGCTGTGGGTTCAAATCCCAGCTCTGCCACTTACTAGCTGTATGAAACCGATCAAGTTAATTAACCTCATTGAGGTTTAGATTCTAATCTTCGGAAGGGGGATTATGATACTTCCCTCATAAGGTAAAGTCAGATAACGTATGTAAAATATTTGGCATAGTTCCTGGTACATAATATCCCCAAACTATATTATTTATCAATATTATTATTATCTTTACTGTAAAGCAGGATTGCTAAATAACTGTCTTTATTACTGATGCGTATTTTTGTTCTCCATTTTCATTTTTTCATGGTAGTCAACTCCCGCCATTTTGATAGATGTCAGAATTGTCTTTCTTTGACCAAGTTACCATAAATAAAGCAGGCTGACTGATATTACTGAACTGGACAGGCTGTTAATAAGATAGTTGTTTCAGGAAGGTACAGTCAAACTGGTCTATAAGCTAAGAAGGACTGTTTAATCTAATTGAGTTGGCCAGTTCTGCTCTCTTATTGTGTGTACTTGGTACCTGGATAAATCTAAACATAAGAAAAGCGATTTTGTTGATGACATGGATATACAGAAAAAAATGCATGTAATTCTATTATTTGAAGCAATGAGGATATGAAAGTGGTATGTGGAGAAAGAGACAGAATAGCATATAAATATGTCCATATAGCATGAATAAACAAAAGTACTTTGTTTAAATAGGTATATTTCTGAAAAATAAATTTTGACTCTGAATTCAGTGAACTGATTTTTTCCTTTCTATTGGTCCCCAATTCTCTTTCCAGATCAGCTAAGCCTCACTGGATTAACTGTTATCTTGGGGTTCCTACCAGCTCTGAGATCCTGAAAGGCATGACCCACTCCCTTCAAATGCAATTTCTAACACGCACACACGTGCAAACTTTCGTGTGTGATTTCAGGGTTTAGAACCCTTCTGTAGCTCACTCATGGATCACCTCTAGAGAATAAGAGTCCTTGGACAATGATGTTTGGGCTTCTAGGAGTTTGTTTTCATTTTTGATTGATCTTCAGTTTAGAAGCTTCTAACACTTTAAATTCCCCCCTTTCTCCTTCCCTAACCAACCAAACCTCTCATTTGAGCAGCTAATTATAAAAATAAACATTTTTATGCTCCAAGAAAGCTTACTATTTAAAGGAACCCCAGACTGGATCCTTTTGCAAAGTGAACAATACCACGTGTTTTATAAATTTGGACCGTCTTAATGCCAGCTCTCCTTAATGCAAGCATACATGGCATCTACTTCCTTGCTTCTATTTAATGAACTTAGAAGACAAATTAGATAGACGGTAAGCATGATGTTCAAAGCTTTTAACCCCTTTTAGCTTTCAGCTATGTGAGGCTACTAGTAAAGCAGGTAAAGACCTTTAGAATTTCCTTCTGCACAGACAAGCATCTATTTTTGGCAAGCTCCCTAGAATCTTTGTCACAAAAGCATATGATGTATCTTGGGGAGTATGTGGTCTAAAGTTTGTTAACAGATTTAAGTCTCTTTAAAAATGGCATTAAATTGTCTTACAGCAATGGCTTGAACTGTGGCCAGGTAGAGAATGGCAAGATCATCGAGGTCCTGAGATAGTTTCAATCCGGTGACCTGTAGGGATGAAGAAAAGAAAAGAAGGAGATGGCGCCATGGTTAGAGATAGTTCCCATGAAACACGTTCAGATGTGTTTTCTTGCCGAAACAAGTTCATATGCAAATCCCCTTTTTGTAAGCTGAACGTGAAGTGACTACTGAATTGTTTAATCTCCAGACCTGGGAAAAAGTATCCCTTCTTCCCCCAAAGAAAATGCCTTGCCTTGGATTAAAGAAAAATAAAACAAATACTATAAGGAGATTTTTTTTTTTAGGAGATTGTGTTTGATATTTCTTAGCATGGAATTAAATATGTTTCTTCTTTAAAAACATTCTTTTATTACAAACACCTATTCTTTTTGGCTTATAGAGATGAACACGTAGCAGTGGCACTCTAGTAAAAGGTGATTATTCCTAGTTCTGCTACTGTCAGAATTCAGTGGACCAGCATCCAGGGGGTATTCAGAGTAAAATAACGTGTCTACTATAAATGTGATACCTACTAGGGGATAATTTAGAATCTGTGGTTTACCAGGGAATCCCATTAGAGTCAATCGGAACCACATGCTTATATGGAGTATGTCAATTTCTGAGAGATTCCAGAACTGAACATCCTGATTCCAGGATGTTGGATTTGGGTGGTTTCAAGACTTGTTCACAGTCTCACTTTCATGTCTCCCATGCATGATGGTGTCCGCTTGGGACATTTCTAGAGGGTGAAGGCTGCTGGTTTCTTCAAGCCTAGTCTGAAGTTGGTGGGCATCAATGCCAGAGTTCACTTGAGATTTTCATTACAAAATTAATTCACGTAACATACTTTTTCTCAGGCCCTACAGTGTATATGGTCCTGAGTTCAATGAGGAGGTGACATGGCCTAGTGGTCTACCAAGGTCCCTGTCCTTCATTGCTCCAGCCCCATTTATTATTCTCTCCAGATTCCACCCCCAGCGGGGATTAAGGGGTCAGCCTTGGCCTGTTACAGGGCACAGATACCACTCCACTGCCCAAACCAGAAACCTGGGAACACTTTCCCCTGACTTTTCTCTCCCTTCCAGGATCTAATCAGTCTCCAAGTCCTATACATTTGAGCTCCAGAATCTTTTTTGAAGCCATCCCCTCTCTTTGTCCTCACTGTCACTCACCTCCTTAATCCAGGCCTCCATCGTATCCTTCCCGATTGCTAAAATAGCTCCTGATCAAACCTTCCTGTTTCTAATGGTGCTTGTTCCTCTCTACAAGGGAGCTAGTGCTTATTCTCAAATGCAAATTGATCATGTGAAAAATTCTCCCTCCGTTGCCCTCATTCTGAAGCAGAAGCACCTTCCCTGTCTTCTATGAGTGATTCTGCCCGGGGTCAGCCCTGCTTTCTTCGCCAGTGTCTAGTCTCTCCTGTCCTCACTTAGCAACTTGTGTTCCAGCTGTTCTGATTACTCATCTAAGTTGGCGGAAGGGGGTATTCCTAAATTCAGTAGTGCTACCTGCTGATAGGTTTTTTTTTTTTTTGGAAGATCATGGGGTCAGTCAGTGAGAATAACGGCTTTGATCTGAACACACAGGAGCATGAGAGGTTTGAATGAGAAATCAGGAAGGAGCTCTAAAGATGCATGTTCCCCAGCCAATAACTCTGTGAAGGAACATCTCTCAGAAAGGTCCCTAGAGACCTAAATGAACAATAAGAATGTTAGAACTAGGAGAACACGAGCAACACAGATATCACAGAAGTTCATTTCACAGAGGAGAAAATAATTTGCTTAAGAGAGAGTCCAGAGGTTCGTGAAGCCCAAACCTAGGTGTCCCAACAGACTGTGTTACTCACCACAGATCTCCCATGCTTGCCACTGCGCCTGGCACATAGTGGCGCTAAGTTAATATTTGCTGAATGTGTAAGTGACACTTCAATGCTCCTTTTTCCTTCTGCACACCATTCTCTCTCCTAACATCCTATCCTTCTCTGTCATATTATACAATTATGAGAGGACAGTATTTACTACCTCAGCCCCTCATATATTCACAGAGGTGGAGGAGTATATTTCCTCCATGCCCCAAGAGAGAAAAACACTGGACCATCACTTCTAGTTGCTTACTGCATGCTCTACCCCTTTCCCCAAACTCCACACTTACCCTTCCTCATCAGAGGAGTGGCTTGTACGAGATTGGAGTAAAAGTAGTCACCCTGTAGCTCATATGGAGTCTTCGTGTGAATTAGAAAAAGGTGCTCCCTCCAGATGGACTAAATGCAAAAGGCATCCCATCTGGAAGAGTGAATTTTAAAAAGGAGCAGAGTGGACAGGATGTCAGCCCTGCCCTATGCCCCCCTCAGCTGAACACCCTGCGTGAGCAACCAGCCCCAGGGCGAGCATTGGTCCTGGGTAAAGATCACTAGTCATAAATGGTCTCTCTTTAACTCATCTCCAAAACTGGCTTGGCCTCAACAGCATCTCTGTTGATGGTCTGTTGGGAAAGTTGATTGGGCCACAGTTTAGAGCTCTCCTCCAGAGCCAGCCCAGAAGGTAGGCTGCCTCTGGCCTCCTATCGCTGGTCATCAATGAGATGCGAATCAAGCCATGACCCTCCACGTGGTTGGGTGTGTGTCTGCCTGGCAGACACACATCCATCTACAGGAGGGTCCCGAGTGCCAGAGGTGGATAAACTGTGATGCGGGTAGGGGAGGAATTTGACTTTTTATATAAGAGTCATTCTCCTATGGACTTGAGGATATGGGGAGGGGGAAGGGTAAGCTGTGACAAAGTGAGAGAGTGGCATGGACATATATACACTACCAAACGTAAGGTAGATAGCTAGTGGGAAGCAGCCGCATAGCACAGGGAGATCAGCTCGGTGCTTTGTGACCGACCGCCTGGAGGGGTGGGATAGGGAGGGTGGGAGGGAGGGAGACGCAAGAGGGAAGAGATATGGGAACATATGTATATGTATAACCGATTCACTTTGTTATAAAGCAGAAACTAACACACCACTGTAAAGCAATTATACTCCAATAAAGATGTAAAAAAAAAAAAAAGAGTCATTCTCCTATTAAGTTATTAGGAACCCCAGGGCTCTGTATTGACAATAACTGGCTCTGATATTCTTCTCAATTAGTAAGAACCCGTAAGAGAGGAGGAGTAAAATATCACTAGATTTTGCTTCCTTAATCCCAGCAAATATTCATGAGAACTTCCCCAAAGTACTGATATTCAAGCAAAAAGATGTCAAGGGCCCTTCTCTAAATTTCTAGTGCCTTCAGAGATTCAAAATCATAGGAAGGAAAGAGAAGATAGCTTCTTATCTTCAGAAATTGAGAATGAGATCATCAGTGTAAATGAGCACTAAATTTAACTCCTGAGCTTGCTTACTAGTAGCTATGGCAAAAGAGGGACATATAATGGATGACGTAGCCTTTCTTTTATGACAAATGAAACATACCTATGCTTCAAGAGAGACAAACTTATTCCTGGGAAGAATTTCTAGAAGGAATTTATTACATGGACCACCATATGGAAGGTATTCAGTATCCAAAGGGAATAAATAAGCAAACATGGTTCTCCCATAGCTCTTTCCAACATTCCCTCATCACTAACACCAGGGCCATGGAGTTGAAATGTGACTCAGTGAAAGACACCTCTCTAAACTGTGAAATTACTATGGTCCAGGACCCCTATTTCCTTGACATCTTACCTGATTTGCAAATGGAGACACTAGAAGGGCAGATCATCATTTGATTCTCTCTCAAGTATCAGGAATCCCAGCCCCACCCTGACAAAAATCAAATGGCAGTCAGCTTAAGAAGGAACTTTCTAAGGAGTGCCTGCCATGTGGACCACTCAGGAGGCTACAGAGGACCCTCAGGGAGCTGTCACGGTATGCAGGTGGCAGTGCCCTGAGAATGTCAGGGATGTCCTGGGAGAGGTGCAGCTTTGTAACCAGCGAGAAAGTTGGGATAGGCCAGAGAAGCCTGTACCCTTGGCTGAAGGCTGAATGGCTCTATCAGTAAGAAAAACTGGGAAGGAAGCATAAGTGGAAGGAATTTGTTTATAGATGTGCACGTGTCTCTTTCGAATGCCTGGGCGAGAGAGTGAAATGTGTGGGGAAGCCCCATGGAGAGTTGCAATGGTAAGCACATTTTATTTATTTTGGCTATTGTGAAAAGAGGACTGTAATAGAAAACACTCATAGTTAATATTTAGAGGTGTGTGAAAGTGGCATATGGTGGCCAAAGAGATGTGAACTGCAATGGACAATTTCAACCTCCTAGATAATGATTATAAAATGTTTATGTAAATACTATTGGGATTTCTGAGCTTAGAAGAGAAGTGTAGGTGAACAGAAAGACGATGTGCTCTGGAGTAAGACACATGGCTTTACATCTCAACATTCCCTCTAACTGCTTGCAGGACACTGTGAGTTTTGTAACCACTCTGAGCTTCATTTTTTTTTTTTTTTCATCTGTAAAATAGGAATAATAATACTTCAAGGTGCTTCATGATTAAATGAGTTATCGTTTGGGCTTCCCTGGTGGCACAGTGGTTGAGAACCTGCCTGACAATGCAGGGGACACGGGTTCGAGCCCTGGTCTGGGAGGATCCCACATGCCACGGAGCAACTAGACCCGTGAGCCACAACTACTGAGCCTGCGCATCTGGAGCCTGTGCTCCGCAACAAGAGAGGCCGCGATAGTGAGAGGCCCGTGCACCACGATGAAGAGTGGCCCCCGCATGCCACAACTAGAGAAAGCCCTCGCACAGAAGCGAAGACGCAACACAGCCAAAAATAATTAATTAATTTAAAAAAATGAGCTACCGTTTGCACGGCCTCTTACTTTTTCAGCAAGCCGTACCAAATCGACAAGAGCTAGACACTTGCAGTGCTTAATAAATGTTCATTCTCCTTCCTTTTCTCTTAATAAATGTTCACTCCCTTTCTCTTGAAGTGCAATGAGGGGCTCAACCCCATGCATTAATTGGGATACAGCAATAAAGGATCTCCTGCAACAGGCTGTGGGTACTGTCAGGGTATTAGCAATGGGGACTGAAGACCAGTGGTTGTACAGGGTGGGGAACGTAGGGTAGAAAGTGCGCTGGCCGTCAGCATCAGGATCATAGGAGAAAGGTCTGGATGTCTAGGAGTGTGGAGGAGCAGTGTGCCCTTGATGAGCACCCAGGAATAGGACAGTGGGAGACTCACTTGCTAGGACTCCTTGGAGAAGCCTTAGTCCTTATCAACCTACACACT